AACATCATACATCTCGTTACTTGGCGCTACGACATCTACAACCGGAGGAATTAAAGGTTCACCATGATATGTCCACATTTCCTATGACCGACTAAAACCATATATATGAACATGACGTCTCATTGCTTTCAGATCCATGAAGTAACGGTTATAATATTGCTCACACAAACATCTTGTTTCACCTTTAGTATGTAGGTGTCACATGGATCTCTCGACAAAAGATTCGAGTCCCAGTTGGAACTCAGGAGATTGACAATGTGGATTAGTAGTCCAGCTTTTATCAATAGACATGATGTAACTAAAACATAGTTTAGTATTTTGGGTTTACTCTAAGGGATACAAATATCAAGTTGAGTATTTATAAAGTCGATGATTCAAAAAGTATCCCCAACACGGGAACACGGGAACAAATTATCAGAAACGGATAGAGTATTCACATTGTATGCTTCTAAACCCACCTTTTGAATAAATTGTCTCATATGTGAACGTGTTTTACATGATTGTCTGTTCAAGAAAAATTCGGCAGCATTTCCCCTTAGCTCCCAAGTATACCCGAGAAGCAAAGAGAAAATGACAACTGAATCTTTCTTAAACAAACAATCATGGAATACATGCTCACATCCTAAATGAGATAAAGTATTCAAAAACCATTCCCAAAACGCGGACAGCTCGAAATTAACCTCCAAATCAATGTTAGGCGGGTATTTCTAGACTCATGATGATTACAAAGAAGACACACAAACGAATAGAATTTAGAAGAATTTTTTTTTGCCATTTATAGCATCTTACTTTTGTATATTATTTGTTATTTATGGCATATGATTTTGTTTTAAGTTTTCTACAATAGCATTGTACTTTAAATATTATATTGTTTATTCTATTTAAGCATTGTACTTTTCAATATTTTTTTTTATTTATAATATCATATTTTATCCTATTATAGCATTGTACTTTACAAGATTTTTATTATTTAATAACACTGTAGTTTAAATATTATATTGTTTTTTCTATTTGAACACTGTACTTTGGCATATATTTTTTTAATTTATAGTATCATATTTTATCCTATTATAACATTGTATTTTACAATATTTTTGGAAAGTACAATGCCATAATATAAAAAAATGAAAAAAAAGTTTGTGTATTTGTATGTAATTTGTAAAAGTACAAACTGTTTTTTTCCATTATAGCATTGTACTTTCCAAGTTGCATATAAATACACAAACCTTTTTTTTCATTTTTTTCCATTATATCATTATACTTTCCAAGTTGCATACAAATACACAAACTTTTTCTTTTCATTTTTTCCATTATAGCATTGTACTTTCCAAATTGCATAACTAATTTTTTTTTCATTTTTTCCATTATAGCATTGTACTTTCCAAAAAAGCCCTTGATACATATATACACACATTACGTACATAAATACTCACATTATACATACACATACACTTAAACATGCTTCCTACAAACATTTCATATTCAGTATAGCATCATACTTTTTTTCGATTTTTCCATTATTGCATCCTACTTCGATTCAATTTTTTCCATCATATATTCATTATACACACATTTTTTCCATACATCATCCACATTACAATATAGTCAAATACACTTAAACATACATCTTACACATATTACATATTCATTATAGCATCCTATTTTTTTTCATTTTATTCCATTATAGCATTGTACATTCTAAAAAAGCCCTTGATACATATATACACATATTACATATTCATTATAGCATCATACTTTTTTTTATACTTTTTTCCATTATAGCATCCTACTTTTTTTCATTTTTTCCAGACATATATACACACATTACATACCAATATATACACATTGCATACATTTATGTATTCTATTTCATATACTTATATCATACACATTACATACATACATAATGCATACAATATGAAGAACTATATTAGAATACTTCATGACATGGAATAGAACCTGTGGTGGAACGAAAAGAAATTTGTGGTGGTCTTGTGGGTGTGTTGTGGTGGTGATGTGGTGGCAAAAAAATCTGCTAGCTTTCGTGGTGGTGATGACAACCCGAAATTTGAGGTTAACAAAGCTTAATGCACAAAATCAAACACCTAAATCGTTACATAGTCAGTGGACAGAAAAAAAATTCGGAAAAAAATTCGAAGAATCACCCGTAAAATCTGCAAGCTGCGATGGGAAAAAAAAACTTAGCAAAATCCGGCAGCTGTCGTCGGTGATGACGCTCTTGTCGTCGTTGGTGATAGAGGCTATGAAGGCTTGGTACAATTTCGGGTATCGATCGTCAACGATGAGAGTGAAAGAAGACATAATACAGAAAATGATGGAGGAAGAGTGGTATATCTACGACGACCTTTAGCGGCAATGGCTATTTACGGCGATGGGGAGGCTTTAGCGGCGACAATAGGGTTTTAGCAGCGACACCTTCACGAGGGAAAAAAAATATCGTATTTTTTTGGCGTATTAGCGGCGACGATGTCGCTGCCATTGACGTCGCCACTAATACAGTAAGCGATCTTCGATTACGGCCGTCCAATTAGGTCCAGATCAACGAATAGGGTTAGCCAATTTCTTTTGACGCGGATCGTGGTTTTCCACCTTTAGCGGCGACACATAAACCGCAAATTACGTGTCGTCGCTAAAAGTGTGTGTAGCTGCTAATGGCGTCTCCCCTATTGTCTTTATTTCTTGTAGTGTTTTATCTTTGATTTTTTGTAACTCTTGAATTGCTTGCAATGGTTTAGTTTGATATGAATTTGTAACACCGATCTAAACAGTTTAATAATGGTTTTTGGTGGATCTTATTTTTGTAAACCATTACTATTTGTAATGACATGTTTAAAAACCATAGCACTAAAAGTGTTAAGGAAATTTGGGTGTTATAAGTTAAACAAGTGGAATTTTGTTTTTGGATTGACATAGATAGTGTGAGATTGAGCAATCAAGATTTCATATGGAGGGTTTCCAACAAATATGTTGGTCGAAGGTTTGCAAGGAAAAGAAGTATGTAGATGATATTGTTTATTGTTCGGATCATACATTATGATTTCCCATTTTGCTGGGAAGTGCAAGGATAAGAAAAATGAAAGGAAATTCCATTCTAAGAAAAAACAAAGTCTTAGAAGTTTTTGTTGCCATATTCGCCCTCCTATTGTTATATTGTAAGACTTTGATTTAATATCTAAATTGAATTTGTATATATACAAGAAAATGTGGAATTTAGAGAAAATATATGTTTTTTGGCAAACCATAGAAAGCGAGAGAAGTGATCCAAAAACAAGACATAATATTTTATTCCACTCATACCGGGTATAGATGATGTCCATATATCGAAATGGACATATATCAAAAATACTAGAAACGTGAGAACTTGAAGTGCTTAAAATAAGGCGAATATGTTTTTCAAGATCACAAGCTTGAGAATAAACATTAAGTTTGCCTTTATTACAAGAAATAAAATTATTTGATGCGTGAGACTTTATGACATTAATGTCGGGGATGACCAAGCCTTTAAGGTCATAAGGATACACTTGATGAAAGAAAAGCAACATAATTATGAATAGACGATGTGGCTAGATATAGCTCCGCGATATTATCACACCTAAGAAGAGTTTTGTAGGTTCAAAAGTCCTTTACAAAAAACCTACAAGCGTTAAAATGAATAGTATCATGGTTGCCTTTTGTTAATCAGTGGACAAAGATTAAGTTCTCAAGGATATTGATGTGACAAGGAGGTTATTAAGATGGAAAGGTTAATAGGGTGTGTTGATGTTGGTTTGAATTGCGTGAGTGACTGGAATTGGGGAACATTACCCACAAGGAGTAGATTAATGTTTTCTTTTAGAGCTAAAGGAAGTGAGATTAATACATGTATTCAAGGCTAGGTGAGAATTGGATTCAGAGTCCCTAAACCAGTCGACGTTTGGTTGATCATCAAAATGTGGAAACTACTCCCATTGTGGAGAAAAAAGGCATGGTAGCATCAAGTGCAATGAGTTGGTGTCGTTGTGAGGTAGGGTAACGAGACTGCAGGGAGCTGTGTTGAGTATACTTGGCTGTGAGGAGGTAAAATCTTGGTTGTTGCCACTGCTCTTGTGGTACCGCTGTTGCGAGACAGTGGCAGGTGAGTGAGGAGAATACCAGGACGACAATTCTGGTTATCCATATATAAGCCTTCCATGATAGGCCATATGGCAACCATGAAGGTATATGTGGGTTGTAAACCAGTTGGAGCATAAGGACCAATTTCCATTGGTACATTGAGTTTCAACTAACTTTCTACAAGCATCATAATTAAGTTGGTTGAGATCTAGAACAAAAAGAACATAAGCTTTTATGTTAGTGATGTCATAAGATTTGTTGTTGGAGGCAGTGATATTGGCCATGAGAGAAATATCGAGAGGTAGGGAGGTGATCGACGACAGTAGAGCACTGGTTGCCGATGAGAGCAATATGACACTGGTGGTGGTGGTCTAGGTTTAACTTGATAGGAAGAAGAAAGGGAGGTGTGAAGGGTTCTCTTATACCATATAATTTTGGATATTTTTTATACGTTACTTTGCATTGTTTTAGTGATTAAATACAATTTATAGTTAAATGGGCTAATCTATTCGTGTTATCGACAGATAGATAAAGTATGGGCCAATACAAATAATGTACAACATGCCTAATTCAATAGTCTAATTAAAAATTTTGAATATCATTATGAAGTTGAATGTTAAATAATGCATTGAAATTTATAATAAAGAAATTGAAGTTCACAGTTTTCATTATTACGAAGCATAAAACAAAAATAAAGGATGTAAAATAACAAATTTATTTATTTATATTTTTATTATCAAACATAGAGAAAGAAGCAACTATTTATTGAATACATAAATCAAATACAAGTCGTAAAACTTTCAACCCTTTTGTCCTGCCGGATTATTATTTCTCTTGGAGTTTCAGAATATAAACTTATTACTATCCTTAAAGATGGCGATCACTCCTTAATGGTGAGGAGGGGGTGGTGAACTGTAGATGTAATGCGGGGGTGGGTACTTTTTCACTGGGGGTGGAGGAGGTGGTGGGGACTTGTACATGTAAGGTTTCCTAGGTGGAGGAGGTGGCGGGGACTTGTAAACCGGTGGTGGTGGGGATTTGTACACAGGTGGAGGTGGTGGTGGAGATTTGTAAACTGGTGTTGGTGGTGGTGGAGATTTGTGGACAGGAGTTGGTGGTGGTGGTGACTTGTATACATATGGTTTCTTTGGTGGTGGTGGAGGAGGAGACTTGTAAACCGGAGGAGGTGGCGGTGGTGACTTATACATGTAATGTTTTTTTGGTGGTGGTGGAGACTTGTGAACCGGAGGTGGTGGTGGTGACTTGTAAACGGGTGTAGTTGGAGGTGATGACTTGTGAACGGGTGGTGGTGGTGACTTGTAAACATAATGAGGTGGAGGTGGTGACTTGTAAACAGGCGGTGGTGGTGATTTGTGAACCGGTGGTGGTGGTGACTTGTAAACAGGTGGTGGTGGTGATTTGTGCACTCGTGGTGGTGGTGACTTGTATACTGGCGGTGGTGGAGACTTGTGAACGGGTACGGGTGGTGGAGGTGACTTGTATACATATGGTTTCTTTGGAGGTGGTGGTGACTTGTAAACGGGTGGTGGTGGTGACTTATGCACCGGTGGTGGTGGTGACTTATATACTGGTGGTGGTGGTGACTTATACACCGGTGGTGGTGGTGGTGACTTGTAAACATAATGATGCTTAGGTGGTGGTGGTGGTGGCGATTTCTTTGGTGGAGGTGGTGGTGGAGATGAGTAAGGGTAGGCTGCCGTGGCCGATGAAGGCAAGCTTAAAGAAATCATAACTATCGCAAGCGAGATTAAAAGGGTGGTCATTGAAGACATCTTCCTTTTTGTTCCCATTTCTACTAACAGAAGTGGGATCTGAGTTATGAATTTGAGACACCCTCTGATCCTTTATATAGATGAAATATCTTCATTTTCTAATTAAATTTAAAATAGTTATAGTAATTTAATAAAAAAAATCATTTTTTTTCAACGTGATTCTACCAACTATAATAAATTAAATTTTCTACAATGTAAACTATAAGACAATATGAGCCATCCACACATGAACACTTCAACATTTGAGTTATTGCCTATTGGATTATTCTTTCATTTAATATATGTATAATATATATTAAATAATTTTAATTATTCAGGTCAAAATTAAACTGATTACAAAGTTATGGTAATAAATTTAATAATTAATTTTTTTTTATAGAATTAGTACCTCTATTAAATCCGAATAGTAGAGAATGATATAACCTTAAGCACTTTCGGACTCCCTCATAGTATTGAAACTGTTTTCCTCGGACTGAATGATACCAAATTTTATAACTCTAATACTCTATAGGTCAAAGTATATTAATCTGTGTACGTAAGTTAGCTAGGCCTAGAATATGATAACTTAATGATACGAACACCTTTAGCCAACGTCGTACAAGATTTGTCGAGAAGAAAGACAAGAGGTAGAACCAATAATTGATCACGTGACCAATCAAGAATTATATATAGAGGTAGGTAAATATTTATAACGTAGTACAATTTGATTGGTTGAAAATAACTGACATAATGGGTTCTAGTTCATTGACGAGATGAGGTGAGTAAAATTGAATCGGTCACGAAAAGTAAGTTGCAATCATTTTGTCTCAATTTTTTTATGAATATTTGATGTATCTAATTTTTATATTAACAATAGAATGAGTACATATTATTTTGAATTTGTCTCTGTTTATATTTTATCTTTGGGTTCAAATCCCTGCTGTTGGGAGCTTTGTTCCGTCGCATTGCGGGTTGAGGATTTGGCATTATACACGGTTGGAGGAATCCGTGATTCCTCTCAACGGCTTCAAACTTCTTTTGTAATGTAAATTTTCTATTATTAAATACTTTTATCTACCAATTTAAATTCATATATTTCTTTCTTTCAATTCCATTCCATTCTCCTTTAGTTTTTTTTTTTTTTCAATTTCATTCCATTTTATTATATTCTCTTTACATTCCATTTTAAAATTTGAAAATGGATGTTATTGTTGGATTAATGTGTCTAAGATCATAACTAAATTTGTATAAATCTACAAATGGAAGCAAAGTCATTTTGGGTTGCCCTCAGAACTAGTAATTTACTAGATTGACTTTTGGAGATAGAGGTTGATTTATTGATTTATTATATGATTAATAAACAGAAATAAATAATTTGTTAATATATTATGATATTAATATATTAATTAGAAATAGTATTATTTAATTAGTAATTAATCAAAATTTAATTGGCATTAATTTTGGGATTAATTAATAGTGTAGAGACTTAAGTTGTAATTGCTTAATAGTTAAACAAGAGAGGTTTTAGAACCTTCCATGGGTCATGAACGGTTTTGGGGAGTTTTTTAAGGGTTTTAGATTAATCTTTAAAGATAATTAAGGAGTTGGAAAATTACCAAATTTGAAATAATAATATTATATTCAAATTAGAGTTTTCAAGGCTCCTTATATCAGTTATAAATAGAGCTCCTTGGTTCCTCATTTTCGTCCATCACTTCTACCAAAGGAATAGCCGAAATTCCAACTCCCACTCCTATCTCTTCAACTGTTCTAATTGCTAGGGTTTGAGTACAAATCATTAGAGGCATTGGATTTCTGGTGCTTTTTTCCAAGACATTTGAAGAAATAAATTGCTTTGATTATTTGTTATAATAATCAAAAGGTATGTAAACCCTAATCCCTTGATAATTTTGATTATAATAAGGCCTCCTTAGGGTTCTTGATGTTCATAGAACATTGTTATTAATAGAGAAAACATAGATCCAAATAGGTTGTATATGAACTTAAGGGTTAAAATATTTCGCCTCATGCTTTGTGTTATAGCCTATAAAACCTATCAATGGTATCAAAGCGATAGTTTTTATTTGATTCAGTATATTAATGAATAGATCAAAATTAAGGTTTATAGAAATTAAACCCTAAAGGCCATGGAATTTTGCAAATGGCTAGGGTTTTTAAAACCCTAGCATCCACCCTTATTTTCGAAAATACATAGGGTTCCCTTAGGGCTTTGTAGTTTTCTTAATGGGTCCTACTAGAGACACACCAACCTACCATGCTCATAGACAATTAGACCCATCTTTTAGGTCATTATTACCATATCATTTAGCATAATTATTTTTACTTCTTTTGATATTACTTTATTATAACTTAATCATTTCACTCTTTTAAATATTTAATTATTATTTTATTTACTAATTTTATTATTATTATCATTGACTTCTAAACTTATTTATTTATAAAATAAGACAAATAAGAAAATAATAATAGTATTTCTTTCATTAGATATTAATATAAATAATATTATAGAAAAATATATCCCGAACAACAAAGTTTGTCATTTGTGTAAAGTTTTTGAAATACAAAAGTTTATGACTGTTTTGATTTTTTTTTCGCTAAAACCTTAATCCGTTTAACGTGCCGAATTGCCGAATCATATATATATATATATATATATATATATATATATATATATATATATATATATATATATATATATATATATATATATATATATCTATATATATATATATATATATATCATTCTTAAAAAAACAAATAAATATATAATCCCAAAAAATCTTAGTATATTTTTTATAACATCAACCCATCAATAATTCTAAAAAGTTCACATTGGTAAATTATGAAAGATGAGATATTCATTTTCAAAAACCATTATCCATTTTGTATTTTTTTTAAATCATTATGACTAGGAAAGTATCCCCGCGGGGGTCGGATTTCATTTCAAACTTATTTTTAAGTATAATATTGTAACACAAACAATTAAAACTATAATGCTATAAAAACCAAATAAATAAAATTTTGTTGCTATTGTTTCTTAAATTCCATAATTTAACACATATAGGGAAATCTGTGCACCTGACATATCAATTTCGTGATATATCATCATTATGAATAGACCTTTAAACATTATGGATATGCATGTTTAGTTGGTTTGGATCAAACTCCTACCGATCCAAATAGTAAAAACCTTAATGCACCAAATTGAACAAAAAAACTCAACAATCAATTTACCTAATTGTATTCGCATATCAGACATTTAACAAAGGGAAATGAAATGGAATTCCATAATTTGTCAACCTTTGTATCAAGCTGAAAAATAACTGAAATTTGTGCTCATTATGACCTAATAACAAAAAATAAATAAATAATTATCCTGTTTTATGAATAAAGAACATGAAATTGTGAAAATCCAAATAAGAGTTACCCCAAACAAAGCATGCTTACCTACAAGATCAACGGCCCGTAGGATCCCTCTGTTTATAAGAAAGAAAGGAAAAACATTAAGCAAATCAATAATTTTTTATTGACTTTGTGTTGTTTGTTTACTAAAATATTTGAATTTATTAATCATAAATAACTAAGCAACTAAATTCATTTTGTAATACTTAAATCTTTATAACTAGGAAAGTATAATATTGTAACACAAAGAATTAAAAGTATGATGCTATAAAAAACCAAATAAATAAAAATTTGTTGCTATTGTTGCCTAAATTCCATAATGTAACACACATATGGAAATCTATGCACCTGACATATCAGTTTCGTGATTTGTCATCATTATGAATAGACTTTTTTTTGCACATTATAGATATGCAGGTTTAGTTGGTTTAAATCAAACTCCTACCCAATCCAAACTATAAAAAACTCAAGGCACCAAATTGAACAAAAAAGAACTCAACAGTCAATTTACCTAATTGTATTGACATAATAGACATTTAACAAAGGTAAATGAAATGGAATTCCATAATTTCTCAATATTTGTATCAAGATGAAAAATAACCAAAATTCTTGCTCATTATGACCTAATAAGAAAAAATAAATAAATAATCAGCATGTTTTATGAATAAAGAACATGAAATTGTGAAAATACAAATAAAAGTTCCCCCAAACAAAGCATGTTTGCCTACAAGATCAACGGCCAGTAAGATCCCTCTGTTTATAAGAAAGAAAGGAAAAACATTAAGCAAATCAATAATTTTTTATTGACTTTGTATCGTTTGTTTACTAAAATATTTAAATTTATTAATCATAAATAACTAAACAACTTAATTCATTTTGTAATGTTTAAATGAATCAAATTCAAATCGATTTATTTTAATTTTGATCATTTATGGTGAAATACAGAAAAGCACTTGTAGTCTTGTACTTTCACCATTTTAGCAATATAGCTACCTAACTATTATTATAATAATCATTAAAAAAATAATAGTAAACAAATAAGGATTTTGACATTCCTTATGGGAAACGTGGTTTCTATAGGAGTGAGGATGGGTCATGTATGTATGTCAAGGCTAGTGGGAGTATAGTGACTTTCCTAATATTATATGTTGATGACATACTTCTTATGGGAAACGACATTCCGACCTTGCAATAAGTGAAAACTTGGCTTGGAAACTGTTTCGCCATCGAGGACCTAGGGGAAGCGACCTATATTATTGGAATAAGGATTTTGAGGGATAGAGAGAAACGAATTATTAGCTTTAGTCAGAGTACATACTTGGATAAAATACTAAAATGTTTGGCATGGAAAATTCAAAGAAAGGGGATTTACCCATCCATCATACTATTAAGTTGAGTAAGACTCAAACTTCGGTGTTGATGAGTAAGACTCAATCTTCGGCTATGGCTTCGATCATGTATGATATGGCATGTACTCACCCTAATATGTCTTATGCTTTGAGCATGGTTATTCGATTTTAGGGCAATCCTGGCAGAGCTCATTAGACTGCAATTAAGAATATTCTAAGTATCTATGAATGATGAAGGACATGGTTCTAGTCCTTGGTGGTAGTGTA